CTGTTCAATGTCACTGTCACTTGTGACATTGGCTCCTGGTACAATTTCAAAGGGGTTCATAGACTTGATTGAGGGTGCAGCAGACAGCTTTCGAGCAAACTTGACACCTTCAGTGAGAATGGCGATATCGAGAGGGTTGCTGAGGAACTCTGGGTTGGCATCTGGAGAGTCGAAGATGTTGGAAGACTTGGCCTTGACGGAGCCTCGAGAGTAGGGATGCTGGAGACCAAGGATCGAGGTTCCATCGGCCCAGATAATCTCCAGGATGGCTGACTTGGTATCAAGAAGCTTATCGTTGAGAACCTTCTGCTGCTTCTTGTAGCCCTTGACGACTTCGGCGGGTGTACCTGAAGGGAGGAACTTGGAGCCGTCCTGGCTAGCGGCCTGCTTGTGAATGCTCGAAGCGGAGCTTGTGTAGTTGGAGAGAGGGAGGAAAAGAAGGAAGTCACCAGTGGGTGAAGTATAAGGTCCCTTCTTTTGCTGATCGTATTCAGCGCGCGCCTCAGCAGCGAAAGTGGCGTTTCCAGTAAGGTTGCCGGTTTGGATAGGAGCATTGACTAAACACAATCAGCTTCTGACATTCTGTTAACAAAAGCGCGTGACTTACTTGTGCCCACAACGGCGAGTAAGACATGATCGTGGAAGTTCTGGCCAACAGCGGGGAGATCAACAACAACAGGGACGTCGATACTGGAGAGAAGAGCCGAGTCACCGATACCGGAGACCTGCAGGATCTGAGGAGTGTGAATGGCTCCAGCCGCAAGGATGACCTCCTTCTTCGCCTTAACAGTCTTCTTGGCGCTGTCCTTGTTCTTCGCGAACTGCGCGAAGATGGTTAGTTACGAACGGTTGCTGTTGTAGGGCAATCGCTTACCTCGACACCAGTAGCCCTCACGGAGCTTCCGTTCTTGCTAGTAAGAATGCGAGTGACCTGGTTGCCTGGAAGAAGCTGGAGGTTCTTGCGCTGAGAGACAGCGCTGTAGTAGTCCTGTGCAGAGGAGCGAACAACGGTCTTGGGGTTGAGGTTGTGAGGGCAGAAGTATCCTCCAATTGCGCCGCCATTGGCTTGGTCGAAGGCGACGTCGATGTCGAGCTCCTCAGTGGCCTTGACAAGACTTTCTGGAGTTTGTCAGTATTGGTACGGTTGGCGAATTGTGCACGGGAAAGATGCACTTACTCGTGGTGGGCCAGAAGAAAGGCGAGTAGCTGGAGTGAATGAAGCCTGACGAGCCATGCGCAGAAGGGTCCGTGGTGATGCCGTATTCCTTCTTGATATCGGTAGTCGGTCCAGTGAATTTCTCGTTCTGCGATTCAAGTTAGTCCTGACCTCGTGACTTTGCCAACTATCGCCAACCTTCTTGAAGTAGGGAAGCAGTGTATCCCACTGCCAATCGCTGTTACCCAACTCCGCCCAGCGATCGTAGTCCGCCTTCGAACCACGATCATAGACCATGCGATTGAGCTTGGTTGAGCCTCCAACGACTTTGCCCAGGGGAATTGAGACGTTGCGTCCATTGAGAGAGGTTGTAGCGGGATATGTCAGATTCCAGTCGTACTTTGTGCCAACAGCACCGCCAGCAAGGCCTGGGATTGTTACGATGTCTTCATTTTTGTCGCTATGCAGAGGTAAGTATTTCATCGTCCGTCAAATACCAGATCTCTTACAAGTCACCAGCTTCAATCACGAGGACAGTCACAGCTGTTGGGGCGTCAGCAAACATGAAGGGTCGATGCAACGGCAGAACGCACCAGGATCCTCCGATAGGCGGTTAGCGACAGTGAGGCCTGAAGCGCCTGCACCAACAATGATATAGTCGTATTCTGTGCGCACACTGGCATCTTGACGTGGGTAAGCAGAGGCAGTTGTCGCATGCAGACAGCTCAGAGCTGCCAGGGTAAGCGCCTGAAATCTAGGCATGGTCAAAATGAGTGACAATGAATGAATGTTTGTATTTTCTAAAGAGACAAATTGGCTGATCAAACTGTACCTGTAAGAGAAGTGATGGGACGAAGACGATCTTATACCCTCCGAGTTTCAGCAAACAAATACCTGATCAGGACTGATACAGAAGGTGTCATTACAATCTATCCCAGAACAGAACGTGCCACTGATGATTCCAAGCATTGGCACTGGGAAACCTGCTTGATTGTGCAGCCGAATCCCGAGCTCAATTACCGAAATCGAAGGTTTTGTTTCAGCCCTTGAATGGCCGTTTCAGGAACGCATTCAAAAGGACACTCAAGAGGGAATCATGTCCGCAAACCTTATTTCGGAGCCCCGAATAGAGTAAAGATCCCATTGGACACGGGCCAGGTTCTCAGCGAGCATCGCCTTCAAGACCCTGGCTTAGCATGGCCTGATAAGGTTTACAAGCCGATTCAGACATAGAGGTACGCGCATACTGATATTGTAAGCAATTGTAATGATATTATGCCATGGCCGGTGGGATAACAAGAATGAGGAGGTGCTGTTTTGTAGCCGAGACTACCGAGGTGAGTGAGATTAGGCCTATAGAGGAGTCAATAAGGACAAGGCTATTAAGACGGCAGAATGCAGAGTAATTTCTCTAAAACCCACCCAGCTTAATATCTGGATACAATAATGATTGATAGATGCACTCTGAAGTTGCGATGATTGGCGGCAGCCTTGAATATATTTTACTGGTAAGTAAGGTCGGATAGCTGAAAGGTCAGTGGCATAGCTCGCCTGCATTGACGCATCAAGATCGAATGTTACAGTGGGATGCGCCTCTGAGGGGTTAGCGCTATGGCCACTAAATCTTATTCGTTTTTGACGCCTGTCACCGAAGCCACGATTCAGCTTCAATTGACCACGTACAAGCATTATGCCTGAAATGACGATATCTCGGCAATTGAGATCGCCGGTACCATTCTTTCCCCTCTATTGTTGTTGGATGCCTACGTCCTAGTTAGTGCTGAAGTATGATTTAATGCCATTGATCACAGCCTGGACGATGCTCTCCTCAATAGAGCCATCCTGCCACGTAAAGCCAAACCCAACATACTCCTCATTGTTCAGCACACAAACCACCAACGGAGCTCCTCCAGCATATGCGCATCGGCTCAACAACACTTTTCCTCGATGCCATAATAGTTTGGCATCTCCCTTGACGTTCTTAGCCTGTGGAAAGGTCCCGAGGTTTGACACCTCAAAAGATTCTCCGCGAGGATGGCCGATTGATCCGGTCAAAGCTGCGCCGATGTCTGGAATAAGCCTGAGCGCAGCGACATTTGCATATGGCTCTCCGGAAGGCGATGCATTCGCAAAATACTTTCTGGTAGCCTGTTGAATTTTCTTGGCATGATTCCATATCCCAAAAGCACCTGCGCTTGAGTCATCCGAAACCTGATCTAGGTCGGAGCGAAGAAGCTGGACTTTGAAGGCATCAATGAAGTTTCCCATGACTCCTTCGACCATCTTTGGTGGTAGGTCCGATCGCAAGCTTACTGGAAGGTTGCATGTAAGAACCTCCGCTGTCGCTGGGAGATTGTTGTACAGCAACCTTGCGACAAGAGATGGAAGAGCCGCAGTTGGTGCTACCCTGTGCGTCTTGCAGTCTTGCACAAAGCGCTCCATGGTATTTGATGGAAGCGAGAGTGATTTATAACGTGTATTGCAGGGTAATGCAATGGGAACGCCCCTCCACTCATTCAGCTCCGCTGCATTAGATGCTGGTGGGCTTGTTGGAATCGGCAGAGGGTGAAGCTCCTCGAGGGATGGAGCAGTCAGCCCATCATTTGAGAAAACAACGTGATCAGTTGCTTGTTCTGTGGAACTGGACGAAATGTCACAAAGAGATTTTTGGAACGAATCATGGAAAATCTGAAGGCCAGTTCCATCAGTCATCGAGTGATGGGCAATGAATGAGACCGTGATTCCTTTGCTCAAATCATGGTCCTTGAGTATTACCAGTCTCCAGACAGGTAGAGTACCATATTCAGATTTGAAGTTTGTATTGTGTTGGCGCTCAAGCAGTGAATCAAGCTCGTCGTCTGTTTGATCTCCGGCCAAACATGGCTGATTTCGGTCGACAAAGGACACAACTTTCTCGAGATCGATTGAGGCTAATCGTCCCCAGTACGGTTCTTCCTTCTCAGGAATCACTGGAATCGCGAACAGAATCGGATGCTGGGTGAGGACTTGTGATAAGGCGCCGTAGACGGTCTCTTCCAGATCGAAGCCAGGCAAGACCTGTGTCGGTGCGTAGTGTGCAGATAGACCAGTATTTGTAAAGAAGTCTATATGGTGGGCGATTGTTGAGAGCTGTTCGAGCTTGCCTACGCTCTTTGTTAGCAGCGTTTGGATGAAGGTAGGAGGAACTGTTTACCAAGCGGGCGTATCTTCTTCAGTTGCCGTTCCGTCATGTTGAAGAATGTTTGCATAAGTCATCAACAGGATGATGACTACTGTTGCAACACCGAAGCAGGGTAAACGGCGAGAAGCACATGATGTACGAATCGAATCTCTTTCCTCCCAATACACGCGATGTGGTAATGTCGAAGTACCTAATCTCCAACCCCTTTGCTGCGAGCATATGAGCAAAAAAGATCTGAGAAGAGGATCGTGTACCCTGAATTGAGTAAGTTATTTATTTATGCGCGCAAAGAATCTAGAACGATCCTTCAAGCCTCTTTCAAGGGTCCACGACTTGGCGGGACAGATAATGGGCTCTTGCCTTATTGACGATAGCTTCATGCACAAGGCAAAATCGACTCAAACCTTCTCATTCAAGGCCAGTATCCACCTGAACATACGAATTGAACTAAGGGACCCATCGGTCGCAAAATACGAGTTCTGGAAGATGAATGCTCGAGAAAGACAACATAGCGGGCATATACGTACCTCTTGCTGCACGTATCTTCTGTCATCCTTTCAGTTTTGTTCAGCAAATAGCTAGCTCATCTCGAGGTGCTAATATCTTGGCTGACAAGAATCGAGCAGTGTCAATTCTTGCGAACCTTCATCATTTTTCGTCGACATGACATACCCCTTCCCATATTCACAAGCTGCGAAGCTTGACTCGAGGATCAAGATACCTCGTCCGACCTACGATCATGACCTGGCACCACTGTTGGACTCTGCTTCATTCCCTGAAGAATTCGACCTAAACTTGATGCGTGGAGTCGCGAGTGGTTTACAGGAATGCTCTCATGGCTCATTCATCTTCAATGCAGAGACTGTCCTCAGTGATAACCCGCACTTGAGTCACACGGAGCACTCAGTTCCTGGACCTGACAATAATATAATTACCTTGTCAGCGTTCGCTCCCAAGAACCCATCAAAGGCACCGAGGCCAGTCTTGTATCACATTCACGGCGGCGGGATGGTCAGTGGTGACAGATTCACTGCCGTCACGTCTGTGATTGATCTTCTGAGAGGGATCGATTGCGTTATTGTCTCCGTGGAACACCGTCTTGCCCCGGAGACGCGCGCGCCTGGCCCAGCTGAAGACTGCTATGCGGGGCTTGTGTGGATTTCTGAGAATGCTTTGAGTCTTGGAATTGACCCAGCTGCCATTGTCGTGTTTGGGGTGTCTGGAGGAGGCGCCCTTGCAGCTGCTACGTGCCTTATGGCTCGTGATAGGAAGCGCCCAGCTATCCCGGTCAAAGCTCAGATGCTTTACTCGCCTCTCTTAGATGACCGATGTGAGAGCTTGGCTGATCAGCAATTCGAGTACGGCAACCCTGCCAGTACAGCATGGCTTCGTGCCATTTGGGATCTTATCCTGGGTGATGCACGAGGATCAGAGCATGTTACACCGTATCAAGCGCCTGCAAGAGAGACTGATCTTTCGAATTTGCCCGCTGCATACATCGATGCTGGAGAATGTGAAGTCTTCCGCGATGTCGCCGTCGCCTATGCTACCGAGATGTGGCGAGGCGGATCAACATGCGAACTTCACATCTGGCCTGGAGCTTGGCACGGTTTTGATATGATGGACGATCCCAAGATGCCACTTATTCACATTGCTAACATGACGAAAGCTAACTGGCTTCAGAGAGTCATGAAGAACACAGGAGATGAGAAGTGTAGTTAAATACAAGAATTGAAACTGTTGGTAGCGATGTAACGATCATGTTTAAGTGCGATTAAATACTTGGTGGAATGTAAAAAGACCGGAGCATAAACATTCTCACTATATCAGCAGGATTTAAAAGAAATCCAAAGGAAAAATCCAATTGGCTAAATGTTGAGCTTTGTGAAGATATTCTTTATTGAGGAGTTGAGGCGATTCTGTCTATTACTACTTAAACGGTCATGATCGTCCATCTCGAGGAGCCCTTTTATCTTAAAAACCTAGACCTAGCCTATGAACTAGAACCCTTCGGCACTTGAAGCTACTATTCACCGCTTGCTGGTATGTCTTGACAACTGACACCGGGGCCCTTGCTACATCTCTCAGTGTCTCTAGCCGCGGCACATATTAGCTCCTTGAGCCATGCCACTGTGTTAAACTCGTTTGGTTTAAAATCTGGAACCCTGCCGATACATGTATGTCCCGACTTCGCCATCTTGTCGCACTGCTTGAATTCGGCCGACATCATGAAATTTGCAAGCGCGGTTATTCTGTCTCTCTCTGCTTCTGTCAGGGACAAGGAGACTGGCTCTTGAAGCTCAGTAAGCGGTGCATTGCTCTGTCCCTTGCTGCTTTTCACCTCCAGGGTCTCCGTCCCAGCTTTTTGACCAGAGTCGTTGTTATTAGCAACCTCCTGGAAGTAGCTCGGTCGACCATTCTCGTAGATAATCTGCATGTTTGGGTCTTTCAGATACTCTCCCTTTGGAGCACTGGTCCATTCCCCAGTTGCTGTCAGGGCAACACAACAGTGCCACGGGGTAGTGAAGCCTGTCCTGGTGTTGAGCAAGCTCAAAGAAATTTTATTTTCGCCAGTAGACTGATGGATAGACAGACGGAGGTGGTTAGGGAAACCGTGCTTGACAGCAGCGGCGAAAGCCTATGGATAGTTAGAGACCGGGTGAAGAGATGTAACTTATGTTACTCACATAGCCTCGGATCAACATCTGCTTCGCAAGATACCTCACATCTCTGCGATATGCATTTGCTGTTCGTCCATTGCCGACCGGAAAAATATGCTTGAGATCGGATTCTAGGAACCGCCGATACCCAAGGTAAGTCATCTTGGTGTCGGGGTCTTTCTCAATCTCTTGGTCAATGTCGATGTTGTCTTTGCCGAAGCGGTTTAGAAGGGCTCGGCGGAAATTGGTCGCATTGGCGACATATGCAATCTCATGCATCTCAGCTGGCAGAGGAAGGTCGACCAAGTCTCGGATCCTGGAGAATGATATGTGCTGGAAGCCTTTATCAGAAGCTAATCTTCGAAGCGCCTCCCCGTAGGCCCAGGTGTCACGATCGGGAATACTCAATAGGTCGTTGTAGACAACACCATCTGAGATGATAGTGCATCGAGCGCCAGGCTGGTAGATCTCGCCGATGCGGATGCACATAGTATTGAGCCGATCTAACGCAATCTCCTCCGCTTTGTCGGGCAATATGCCAAAAACCTTGTAGGCTTTGTTTGCTGATTTGAAAGGAAATGCTGGTAGGCACATCTCAACTCTTGTCCTCGCAGCCACGAATTTGCCCACGACGGACAGAAATTTGGGCCTACCGGCCTCAAGCCTTTCTTTGCTGTCGCTGAATTTGTTCAAGGCATACTCGAAGATGACATCCAAGATCTTGGAGGAGACTGCACGCACAGATGGATCTGCGTCCTGCTGCTCTGCAATGGGCCTTACCGCTCCTGATTTGGTAATGTTGGACTGTTCCTGGACGGAAGCATCCGAGACAATTCTGGAAGTCACAGTCATGCTGTGTTGGTTCGCGAGGGCAGGATACGACGGTATGATCTGCATGGAGATGGGGTATGTCTCGAGACTAAGATGCGTCGAGGTAGCACGGTATCCGTGTTGGGTTTCAAGATGAACCACTTTTCGTTAATATGTTGGATTTGTGGTGAAAATATGCAAAGCGGTTAACGTTTGAGCCCAGCTACAAGTTTCCGAGGATATTAAGTATCAAGCCAAACATGTGCAGGGTCAAGCTTGGGACCACAAGAAAGTCTTGATGGCCAATTCAGCCAAAGGATTCGACCGATCTGACGATGTTCTGGTGTCGGGGTATGGAGTGAAGTGACAAGCTGCAGGAACATCGACTGTGCTGAGTCTATGATTCGATAAGCAAGGTCTCGTATCACTGACAGGGGGTTCCAGCGTGGCTGTGACAAACTGCGCACTGGGTATCCACTTGAGGCTGATTATATGCTCAAGATCCGGGGTGATGAAGCGTGGACAGGGGGAACTGAGCAAGTTACATGCATCAAGACGCTAAACAATGTGCTCAAATGTCGTGTCACCTATTATTGATTTTGTGAAATTTTACGCAAGAATGTCATGTGAGCTTCTGGGTGGTGGCGTTAATCGAAGAAGAGAAAGTTTGTTGTGAGCGAGAATGAGTTTGTTTCTTATCATACCATGCATGTTTTGCCTGAATTCTCCGGCCCTACGCCGAATTGAACTCATCTCGAGATAATGCGGGTCCTTGGAGTCTCTTTCGGGTGAAGAAAATAAATTACTAAAATTTAGAAATTATTATGATAAACTCATCTAAAGCCACAACAAGATTTCTGGCGCCTAGGATCAAGGCCTAACATGTTCGTTACGTGTCACTTTGTTGATTCAATGAGAAGATAAGGTTGACACTGTCAAAGTCACCACAAGGTCTCTGTGTATCGCTCGCTAATCTTGGAAATTCCTCATCTGTTGCTCAGAATGGTTGACACTGATTCCTTGTATGGGAGGAGACTTATTCCCCAAATACTTGATCGCCTGGCGGTGGCGGATCCCGAACGCATTGTCTACTCCATTGCCAGCCTTTCTGACGGTATCCCAAGGCTTAAGCATATTACTGCACAGGCCTTTGCACGGGCCGTTGATAAAACAGCATGGTGGCTCCATAAGCATCTCAATGCAATGAATGGAGCCCCCAACGGCGATCCGGCAAAGGAGCATGCTGTAACACAGAAGATCCGAGTTTTGGGTTACATCGGACCTCGTAAGTACACACTCAACTTTCAAGAATTACATACGTAGATCTCACAAAAGTTCAGATGACATTCGGCATGTGCTCTTGACCTATGGTGCTGTCAAGGCCGGCTGTGCCGTAAGTTGTCCCAGAACCCATTATCGTACAAACGATGCTGAATGACTTCAAACAGGCTCTCTTCCTTTCACCCAAGAACAACATCACTGGCGCGTTAGCTGTTCTCAATGCTTCTGATTGCAGTATCTGGGTGAAGCCCCGAGAGCAAGCAATGCTCCCCCTAGTGGAAGGGATTTTACAGGAGAAGTATATGAGAGTTCTCGAGCTCCCAAGTGTAGATGAGCTTCTACACGCCGAGTCAACGGAGCCATTCGTGTTTGATAAGGCTTTCGAGAGTGCCATCAATGAGCCATTTTGCATACTGCACACTTCGGGAACTACTGGCGTGCCAAAGCCGATTCTATGGACGCACGGCTTGATCGGTACCATGGATGCCGTAAGACTGCTGCCTCCTATCGAAGGCGATGGTGGGTTGGCTCCTTGGACTGAGAATTGGAACGAAGGTGATAGGATCTACTCCTCCTTTCCTATGAGCCATGTAAGTGTTCCTGCGGGCAATCTGAACCAGCTAACCACGGAGACAGGGAGCCGGTGTAATTATGGATATACTTATGCCTTCCTTGTTCAATCTTCATTGTATTCTTGGGCCTTCGGGTGTCTTACCCAATCTCGGACTCATCGAGTCACTCACTGGTCATATCGACATATGGAGTATGGTACCTTCACTTGTGGACGAACTAGGCGAGAACCCAGAAGTGTTGGCCAAATTCAAGTCATCAAAGTTCATTTGTGCTTCTGGCGGTCAGTAGACTTAATCCATCCCAAATTGACGTGGGCGTGGATCACTGACCCTCATCTACAGGCCCCGTCAGCCCCGTCATTGTCTCCAAGGTCAATGAAGTAGTCAGGGTACTCAACCTCACAGGCACAACGGAAGGTCTTTTCATCGGTAATCTTTGGGTTCGGAGAGAAGACTGGCACTGGTTTGCTTTCCATCCATACTCAGGATTTGAGTTCAAGGAGGTCCAGCCTGGCGTATACGAACACTGGGTGCACCGAAACGAGCATTGGGCTCTATTCCAGGGGATATTCTATACCTTCCCTGACCAGGATTCAGTAAATCTCAAGGATCTGTACATCAGACACCCGATAAATCCAAATCTCTGGGCCTTCAGTGGTAGAAGTGACGATGTCGTCGTCCTTTCCAACGGTTACAAGATCTCTCCCTTGGACACAGAGGCTTTGGTCACGACGCATCCTGCAGTCGAAGGTTGCCTTATGATCGGCACTGGGAAGCCTCAAGCAGGTCTTTTGATTGAGCTCAAGGACCACAGTGATAAGAACAACGAGTTGTTCGATAGCATCTGGACTATCGTTGAGAGGGCAAACAACTCCACTTTCCAGAAGACTCGACTGCAAAGAGAGTATATAGCCTTCTCGGAGTCAGACAAGCCCTTCATCCGGACAGACAAACAGACCATCAAACGCCGCGCCACTCTAGATCTATATGCAGACTTCATCGATCGCTTCTACATCTCTAGAGATGAGGAAGCCGAGGATGAAGATTTTGACGCATTTTCGATTGACACTACGTCGATTGACACCGTGAGAGAATCGATCTCTCATGTTATGCAGTCTGTTTTGCCAGAGGTTGACGATTTCCCAGCCGACGAGGACGTCTTTGACCTCGGCTTGGACTCTCTTCTCGTTTTTCGAGTCATTACAATCATTCGTGCTATTACAGGGCTTGAGGAAAAGCTTGCTCCCCGCCATCTGTATGCACACCCAACGATAGACGAATTTTCTGTCCAGCTTCTCAAGATATTGGAGGAAGAAAAGTCCAAGAAAATTGCGGTGGAATCATTGAGCGATACGGAAACAAGCAAAACGACAGAAACACCATGTTCAAGCATCGAGTCTGAAAATATGAAGAAGATTATAGCTGATCGCAAGCGACGTCTGGGATCCAAGATGAACCCGTTCGATGCTGTCAACCCCAATCACTACATGGGTCTCAACTTCTACTTCGCTCTTCGGCCAGGCGTCAGCTTCGAAGAAGCCTTTGCTAAGCTACAAGCTGGACTCATACGCGCATTTGAGATCATTCCTGAGCTTGACGGGAAAATGATGCTTGCCTCTGAGCATGAGTTTGGGTATAAGAAAGGCGAGTATCGCATTACAATTCCTCCTCAGCCGTTACCAGCTTCTTCAAAGCCGAGGCAGCTGGTGTACAAAGATCTTTCTCAGGTCCTTCCGTCGTTCGGGGAAATGCGTCAAGCGGGCTTCTCGCCATCCTTGTTCAGCGATGAGCTTGTCTTGGATTGCCCACCTTTCCCTTCAATGCCAGCAGATATACTTGTCGCACAAGCCAATTTCGTTGAAGGGGGGTGTATTCTGGCCACCAACTTCATTCACACCTGTCTTGATGCTGTTGGCGTCATGGTGGCAATCAGAGTATGGGCTGAGTGCTGTCGGTATCTTGACGGCGATGAGACGGCGACGTGTGAATGGTTTGACCCCGAAAGTTTCAATCATGATCTTCCTGAAATTATTTGGGAGAAGGAAGGATATGAGAAGCCCATTCATGAGGTTGATCCTGGCACTTGGGGCTTTCTTCCATTCACGCCCGAGATTGGCGTTGACGTGCGCAATGGGACAGGGTCTCATAACGAGACCACGGCTGCTGAGAAGCCTCGTGCTACGCAGAATACTCTCCCTCCTGCCCCTACGTTCCCAGGAAGCTCAGTATGGCCCGCTGCTCCAAGCGAACGATCGCTTAGCACTACAGTCTTCCTTCTTTCAGGGGAGAGCATCCACAGACTCAAGCAAGAAGCTTTGGCGAATCCTCAGGCCAAGAGTGCCTCTACGTCAGTGATTGATATTGTGCAAGCGTTCTTCTGGCGTGCATCGATCAGATCTAGATACAGGGTGGCTAAAGATATCAGGAACCAGACGTTTCAGCGTGACGAGCTGTCAATTCTCGAAATGCCAATTGATGGTCGGCCTTACTTCTCGTCACTGTTGCCGTCGTCCTACATGGGCAGTTTGCTCGTGATGAATCGCCCAGTCATGCCTATCGAAACACTCTGCTCTCCTGAAACAAACATCTCACAGATTGCGCGCGTGATCCGAGAGGCAGCTGCACGAATCACACCGTCACTAGTCCATGACACATTTACTCTACTGCGCTCCATGACAGACTATAGCAAACCTGCAACAGCAAACATGGGTCTTGAGCACATGAACGCCATGATCTCCAACATGATGCTGTTTCAGACAAGCGACATCTCGTTTGGTGATGGATTCTTTGAGGGGGGTAGCCCGGAAACGATGCGGCCACAGATCGAACGTGGTCATAGACGTTTCCGCTTCTTGGTCATCTCTCCGATGCGAAAGGATGGTGGCGTGGAGCTCGTGCTCGGAACTTTGCCGGAGGAATTAAACATGCTCATGAGTGATCAAGAGTTCACCAAGTACGCAGTCTTGTTGGATCATAAGCGAGCTTGAGCAGACTGGACAGTTTCGGGCATACGAAATAATCTATATAGATAGAGATTTATGATAGAGAGATAAGATTCTCCTTGCCCGTCGTCTAAATAGCCTCGAACCTGAGCCACCCTAAAAGATGGAAATACTTAGACGAGTTTAGGATAATCTATGATAAGTTTAGGGACCCCTTTCGATCCGATGCAGGTCCACATTCGCTCTTTAGACGGTGGCTGTTGAAACGTGTCCAGCTGTGAATCTCAACAGCATTTTGACTCACAAGGATGATATAGCCCTGTCATGCAGCTCAAACTAGTTCTGCGTCAACACAGGGGGTCCTCAAGACAGCGCCACCAACAACTTGCTCATACCCGAGCAGATCCAAGCGCTAGTCCTGCACATGCAAGCTTCATCCCATCGCATGCCACGATAATCTAGACAATTAGCTATCAAGGCTTGGCGACACGATAGCACGGATCTACAAGGGTTGTGTGGATACGACAGCAGATGGCTGGAACGAAATTGTCGCTGTGTTGGTGATTTGAGAGAATTTGAGCTAAATCTTGATTGGTGGGCATCAGCATGATGTTGATACCAGTAACTCAGCACCAGGTAAGGGTTATTTGGTCAATCGACTCTCTTGATACAGGGTAGTAAGAATGAGAAGGTATTTGTTCTAGATTTGCTTCTACTGTAGTCTTTTTGCCGTGGCAACAATACCATCGGTCCTTTAAATGTGAAGTCGCGGTTTTGCACTCCTACCTCCGATCTTTTCCTTTCCATCACGGCTGCCTTTCTCTCCTCAATCATCCACCAAACCTGCCCAGTTTGTATTTGTTCAATCTCAATCTCTTACCCCATCTTCGAGTAGCCTTGGCACAGTTGGCGACTGTTCCCTCCCCCCACCCCCATCATGTCCTCCACGGTCGATTCCGATATGAAAGGGCTGCACCAAGTCCACGACGATCCCCACGATGACCTTGAAAGAGACACAGAAAGTCCCGTGAATGACGTGGTAGACGCCAACTTCCAACATGGCGTACAGAACATCGAGGCCGTCACCCTCTCGTGGTCCAGAACCGCGCTGATGGTCGCCTTCGTCCTCATCTGGCTCGTCTACTTCGTCCAAGGTCTTGTCTCAGGTATCAGCAGCGCTTTGATCCCATATGTTACATCCGCCTTTGCAATGCACTCTCTCACGCCGACTACCAGCGTTCTGAGCTCTGTCATTGGAGGTGTCACCAATCTGAGTATCGCAAAGACTCTCGACATCTTCGGCCGACCTCAAGGCTTCTTGTTCTGCGCTACTCTTGCAACTCTTGGACTTATCATGTCGGCCGCCTGCAACAATGTTGAAGCGTATGCTGCGTCTCAGGTCTTTTACACTGTCGGCATCAATGGAGTTGGCTACAGTCTCAGCGTCTTTATCGCTGATACTACCTCTCTTCGGCATCGAGGTCTTATCCAGTCCATTTGTGGCTCTCCCAGTATCATTACAGCCTGGCTGGGTGGTCCAATCTCTACGGCATTCTTGAACGGCGCGGGTTGGAGATGGGCCTTCGGCATGGAGAGTATCCTTGTTCCAGGTGTCACCATTCCCCTGTTCGGTCTTTTCATGCATCATTACCTGAGAGCCAAGAAGCAAGGCATCCTCCCAAAACGAGAATCACAGGGTTTTTCTTACTACATTCGTGAGTTTGACGTTGTTGGTCTTCTCAGCCTCTCTGCCGGAGTTGCCCTTTTCCTCCTACCATTCAATCTCTACGCCTTGCAAGCTAAAGGGTTTGGCTCAACTATGATCATTTGCTTCTTTGTTTTCGGAATCCTCCTTCTGATCTTCTTCGGTATCTGGGAAAAGTTCTTCGCCAAAGTTTCCTTCATCCCCTGGAGATTTCTTCAGGATCGCACAGTTGCTGGTGCTTGTCTGCTCTCATTCACTCTCTTCTTCAGTTACATGTGTTGGGGCATGTACTTCAGCTCCATCCTTCAGGTCGTTAACAACCTCAGTGTCACACATGCTAGCTATGTGGTATCGACATATACCGTTGGTGGCTTTCTTTTCGCCATCTTTGTCGGCATGGCGATGTCTTACACTGGGAACTTCAAGGCTGTCACACTCTACGTGGCACTTCCACTATCTATACTTGGATCTGGCCTCATGATCTATTTCCGGCACCCTGACCAGAGTATTGGCTATATTGCCATGTCTCAAATATTCATCGCCTTTGGGAGCGGCGCCATCATGATTACTGCCGAGATCGCCATTCTTGCTGCTGTCCAAGAGCAGCAGTATTTTGCCGTGTCTATCGCGCTGGTCTCCATGTGTGCCAGCATTGGATCGGCCGTTGGTTTGACTGTGTCATCTGCTATCTGGCAGGATATTCTTCCCAAAAAGCTTGCAGAGTATCTCCCTGAAGAGGATCTCCCCAATCTGCCCATGATTGCGATGGACCTTGTAACCCAACTATCGTACCCCGTTGGGTCACCGACTCGGCTGGCAATTCAACATGCCTATGGCGATGCACACAAATACTTGTTCATTGCTGGCACCGCCGTCTGGTCCCTTGGAATTCTCGGGGTCGTCATGTGGAAGAACATCAACATCATCAACATCAAGCAGACCAAGGGTCGGGTCGTCTAAGGTTGTCTGTCGCTGGAGGGAAGTATGGTAGAAGTTGCACCAAGTGCGGCGTGTTTCTATAGCAATCAATCCAATGTACATATCAATCTGGCAATACAGTCAGATATCAGCCTGACATCGGATTTTAATTGACTCATTCTCGATGCTGACAAATCGCTCACGGTGAGTTGCTTACCCCTCACTGTCACCATAGTTCCGACTCTTACAATAAGCCAACGGTCCTCTGATTGCAACTTGAATTTATTCTGAAGCATGCCTCCTCCTACCAAGTATGCCGTCGCATTGTTTCCAGGGTTCCAAGCCCTGGATGTGTTTGGGCCTTTGGACGTCCTAAATTTCACGTCCAAGCGACAACCTCTCGAACTCTCGCTCCTACATACGGATCTCAATCCTGTGTCTACGTTAGAAGATGACTCGCCCGGCCGTATCGGACAAAGTGTTGTCCCAACTCATACTTATGATAATGCGCCGGAAGATATTGAAGTTCTGCTCGTACCTGGCGGGAGAGGCTCACGAAATCCAGAAAATGTGAAAAGAGTTCGGGAATTTGTCAAGGAGAGGTACCCTAAACTCAAGTTCCTTCTAACGGTCTGCACTGGCAGTGCCATCGTAGCCCAGTCGGGTCTACTTGATGGAAAGGAAGCAACTTCGAATAAGAGATCCTTTGACTGGGTATGTTGTACCGATGCCGACATGTTTTGTTTCTAACCATTGGTAGGCTGAGACGCAAGGACCTAATGTCAAGTGGGTGCGAAAGGCAAGATGGGTCGTCGATGGCAATATCTGGACATCATCTGGTATCTCAGCTGGTATTGACATGATCTACGCTTTCATTGCAGAGCAGTATGGACAGGAGATCGCAGATGACACTGCAGACGGCTCTGAGTATGTCCGCAACACCGATCCAAAATCGGACCCCTTTGCCGTCTAGCGACGCCCCGCTCCTCTGATTAGATAGGGACGCTCTCTTTATGGCCTACTATAGGAGCCTCACTTTCCAAGTCTTTAGAGTAAAGTTAAACGCTTCATGGCCTCGTACAAGGCTGATGGCAAGGGCAAAGAAAAAGGCTCTTAGATATTGTTCCCCACGATCGCAAGGAAGAATAGATCATAGAAATTCCTGCCTCTCTTGACTAAGTTTATGTAACCCAAAATCCAAAGCCTGATAAACTTGAGAATTATGGTATGCTCAGTAAGATTGATGATATATAATTAAAGCTCTATCTCGTAGCCTGCCCACCTTTAAACGTTCACAATTGGAATGATAACCTTGCTAGGATAATCTCCGCCATAATGAATCTTGTGCTGTCCCTTGTTCTTCTCGCTGTCCGGCCTTGGCTTGGAGAACGCAGCAACTTCAGTGAAACCAGGGTACTGTCCCAAGATATCCACCTGAAGGGTCTGGCCCTCCTCGTAGTCCACTCCCATACACCAGATACCAATGTCGAGTTTGACCACTTCGCCCTTGGGAATCTTCTGCACCTCATCGTGAGGATGGAAGGGGAACTGAGGATGTATCGACCGCTTCTCATCGATCTTCCGTTGCGACGCTCGCAGAATACCCATAGCGCCGTTGTGTAATGTCAGACTCGAGCGATCCTTCTCGTCCATTGCATCAACCGACTCCACGGGAGTCTTCTCAATGGGGAACTGTAAATGGCTCAACTCCTTGCCGTTCTTGTCTAACTTGCGAACTTGTACAAAGACAACCATGTCGTCTAAATCATCACAGCTCATGTATAGCTCCGCTTTGGGCATTCCGATGATTCTTGTGTGCTTATGGAAAGTGTATCGGAACTTGGCGATGGACCAGCGATCTTCAGAGTTGTAGGTCTTGATACCTGAAGATGGTGCACTATCTAGAAGTGCATCGTTGTCTCCCAGGTAGAATGAGCGATAGTCGGTATCGGGGACAGGGAAGTCAGGAAGCTCAATGTTACTCTTGACCTTTCCTTCGTCAAACTGGAGAGTTGTCCAGCGCACTCGGGGTGTCTCTTCCCAGTCGTTGTCGATACCCTTGAGGTACTTGTCGAAGTATTTCTATGGCGATGTCAGCAGTTTTCATCTAGCTTAGAACAAAAGTACTAACCTTGAGCTCGGGGTAGCTTTCCTTCACCGAGTAAAGCTCAAACCACTCCTGATGTCCACACCACTTGATCCATTTCTTGTCACTTGCCAGCTCCATCCAGCCTCGCACAGCACCCATGGTGTGAATCTGGCTGAGATCGGAGCCTGTGATAAAAACCGGAATGTTGATCTTGGAGAAATCCACACGCTTATCGTTCCAATAAGCATTAGCCTGAGGGCTTCTGCGATACATTTCTGCAAAGTCCTCAACGCCATGCTGACCTTTGATAACAAGAGTCGTGATAAGATCGAAGTTGCTCATAGTGAACCAGCCTCCTCGGCAGAACTGCTCGCGGAAGATATCTCCGGATCCCTCCCAAGGCGCAATTGCCTTTAACGAAGGGGGGTTCTGTGCAGCAGCCTGCCATTGCATAATGGCCAGGTATGAGTTGCCAGCCATGCCGACGCTACCGTTGCACCAAGGAAGCTTAGCAAGACCCTCGATGACATCGTGAGCGTCCTCGGCTTCTTGTGCACCCATACAGCACGCGTCGCCGTCGCTGTTACCGGCTCCGCGGGCATCAACATGCGCAATTGCATAGCCCTGGTTTACCCACCAAGCAGGGTCAAGACCTTCGAACTTCTCCAGTCCACTGACGTCGTCTTTTGTCAGACAGCAGGCCCATGTGCACACATTGAAGATCATGTCAATGGCCGAGTACTTCTTTCCATAAGGAGACCAGGAGATTATGACAGGAACCTTTTCAGAACCCGTCGGGCGATAAATATCGACGTAGAGGCGGCAGCCATCACGGACAACAATTTCAACATCGTGATCAATGCGGACATCAGAGTCAAGAGGTCTCGCGTCGAAGGGTCTGGAGCCCTTCTTCAGCACTTCAGACTTTCCTGGAGTGGGTTCAACATAGCCATTGTCGCCAACCTCAGGCTTGTTGAGAGGCTTGTAGGCAACCTGAACAGGAGGCGGCATGTTGGTGACAGAGAAGCTGGAAAGTGAGGGGAAATGGATGATTAAGAAGTAACAGAAAGGTTCTTTGTGATAATTTGTGCAAAGAGGGTCTGGATGAATACAATGGTTAGAATTGACAAGGTATTTGCCTGGTTGTTGTTGACAAGAGAATGAAGCGTATCTTTAAGCTCTCTTCACCTTCAATAATTATCTCAAGATTCACTGCGGAGTTGAGGGTCTAACTCACTGACTTCTGGATCCGCATGGTTCGGGTCGGACTAAAAGACCCCACGGGGAGATTGAGGGGAAGATCGCGGAGACGCAATGCGGTTGATCATGCAACCCCAGGCGGATATCATCATCCTTATTCCCTGTCTTACTATTGGTTCTTCCGCTGGCTGGACCCTGTAGACCCCGCGCTAGACGAACTGTTTTCCCTTATCAAGTGACTTTTGCAACGGTCATCTGAGTTAATATCCGAGGTCGAGACTGCAATGAGGAGAAGTCTCCAAATCCGAACCGAAACGAAATAGGCCGGACCGAAAATTAGTGAAACACAATTAGCCTTTCGCTTCGTCAGTCAGCAAAAGATGATTCCGAACCGAGAAAGCCCTCATTACCCCAGATCTCCGCGTTCTGAGTCCCCGGATCAGAGATATAACTAAGGAACCCTTCAGCCTCAATCCATTCTTAGCGCTTCATCATCAAACATCACACTTCCATCTTCACTTCATTTTATCATTCAAATCACAATCCATCATGTCTACCACTACTACAATGCAGATGGAGCAGACTGTCGCTGCTCGCTTCGAGACCAAGGATCTCGTCGAGTTCGACCCCAATGCCGTCTACGGCGATTGGAGAGATGAGTTTCACAAGACAGGCTGTGTTCTGATCAAGAATGTCATCAGCAAAGAGAAAGCTCAATACTACTGCGACAAGCAGATTGAGTGGCTCAAGAAGTTTGAGCTTGGTTTCGATGAGAAGGACCCCAGCACTTGGAACGCGGATCATCTTCCTGTCTCCTTCAAGGGAGGTATGTACTATGGATATGGCGCTACCCACGAGAAAATGGCCTGGGAAGCACGCACCGAGCCCAAGGTCGTTGAGATCTTCGAGAAGCTCTGGGGAACCAAGGAGCTATTGTGCTCTTTTGACGGTCTCAATGTTTCCCTGCCTAACCGCACGGATATCACTTGGAGCCCTTGGCCTCACTGCGATCAAAACCCCGAGCGCAAGGGGTAAGTAATCCTTCCGAATTACCCCAACTTTTTACTAACCCGAGCCTAAAGCATGCAAGCTGTGCAGGGTCTCCTGAACTTTGCCCCCAACGGCCCCAAGGACGGTGGTCTCATGCTCATGAAGGGTTCTTCTAAGCTTTTCAACGAGTTCTTTGCTCAAAAGCGCGAGCCTGCCGATCATGAGGATGCTCCTCCTCCTGAGATCAAGTATATGGACTTGTTCATCTTCAGCGAGAAGGACGTCAAGTGGTTTGAGGAGCGAGGCTGCACTATGTACAAGGTAGACATGGAGCCCGGTGACTTTGTTCTCTGGGACTCTCGTACCATGCATTATGCTCGATTCCCTGAAGGCGATCAAATCCGACACGTTCAGTACATCTGCAGTAAGTTGCGTGCTCCAAGTTGGCCCCAAACCTAACTAACTCAAACCTCAAAGTGACACCACGAAAGTTCGCAACAGAAGAAGCTCTGAAGGCCAAGGCCTATTGCTTCGAAAATAGCATGGGGACAACTCACTGGCCTCATTGGTTAGTAGTTCATCAGTCTTTTCGTTGTTCGTTGCTAACTCGTTTCTAGCAACATCCGCATCGCGCAGGAGAAGCCTATGAGGAATGGCGAGATCTGCCCCAAGTACCGTACAGAACCATTTGAGAAGCCGGAAAGAACAGATCAGATACTTCGATTGGCAGGTGTCAAGTCTTACGATGAATGATGGAAAATTGGGAATGGGTTCTGAGGAAGAATGATAGCCTAGATTATCTTGTTACAGTATTTAAGACTTTTCGCAATACATTTTGTTCTACATGCAAACAGTTTTCCTTTATCGTGACTGCAGCGAATGTAATCTGAACAGTTACAATTCTTATTCTTCTAAAGATCGATTCAACCTTGAAAGTAGGCCTATGAGTTGAGAATATTGGTTGTTGATCCTTCGGATCATCCTTGCAAACAAATTCGGTGGAATCTTGGGCAGGAAAAGGCAAGGTTTTCAGTTCGAGTTCTGCTTACGCAAAAGCCCGAATAAGAACTTCTTCATGATATTTCGAATCAATAGTTCATGATAGGCCAAGTCTGCCCAGAACTTGGCATGGGGGACTCTCAAGAGTCTGGATCCGGTTCGGTAGCAACACCATAATCCGGGGTATGATCCGGGGTAGCAGCTCGGTTCGTGATGCCTCTAGCCTAAATCATCACAAACCGCACTAATCGTACCGAGATATCGGGATGTGGTCCCATGCGGGGAAACAAGGTTTGCGGGGAGTAGCACTAGCCAAGACCATGAGATTGCGCGCAAGGACTTCACCTCCTGTCTTGTTTTGTTATCTCTTGGCCTCGTCCGTTTCTCTATAAAGTCTGGCGGTGCAGCCTCGTTGGATTCTTCTTCACCACCATCTTCTGCATCGCAACAACAGAGAACAGCTACTACCAAGGCCAGCATCATGGATACCAAGTCCGATGTCAATCATGTCGAGAGCGTCTCGAAAGATTCTCTCGACGTGATCCAGGTCACAAAGTCGAAGATTGAGATCAGCGGAACTGTCAAACTGGTAGAAGGAAAGACCATCTACATCCCAACACCGACCGCAGATCCTCAGGGTAAGACTATGCTCCTCTTTGAGGACTCAGCCAATTGCTGACAGGTCAGATCCCTTGAACATGAAGATGTGGCAAAAGGCCCTCGTTCTCATTGTTATCTCCCTATGTACGTACAATCCTCGATCGTCACTCAGCAGCGAAAACTCACATACCCCAAGTCTCAACAATCGGTCTGGCATTGGTCTCGGGATTCGGAGGTCTCCTGGGCTTCTACATCCCTGGCTATGCCGCCGCTGGCAAGGGCTACGCCGATATTACTCATCTCATGACTTATCCCACCCTCTTTATGGGTATCGGTAACCTCATCGGCATGCCTCTCGGTATCGCCGTCGGCCGACGAATCGTTCTCCTCGCCGCGACAATCATCATGATCCTCAGCGCTGGTCTCTGTGCAGGAGCAACCACTTATGAGTGGCACCTTGCTGGACGCATCATCCTTGGACTCTCGGCTGGTCAGAGTGAAGCTCTTGTCCCCATGATCACACAGGTAATACCTTTTATTTTCACGACCTGACAAAGTCTAATGGCTGGATAGGAAATCTTCTTCCTTCATGAGAGAAGTACTTGCATGATGATTCAGCAGACTATTCAGACCATCCTGACTGCTATCTTTGTCATCTTTGCCGGGCCCATCGCCGAAGCCATCACACCCGAATGGTGGTATGGTCTTGGTGCTATCCTCTCCGGTGTCTCCCTCGTCCTTGCCTTCTTCTTCGTTCCCGAGACCAAGTACTACCGTCCCAAGGCTGCCTACCAAGCTGGCGGTAGCTCCGATGATGAGAACGTTGTTGAGGTCTGCACCGTGCGCCCTGAACTCGACTATGTCAACTTTGCCCCTCGCACATTCCGATCCGATATGAGACTCTGGGTTGGCAAGCCTGAGTGGAACAAGATTGTTGAGATTTTTACTGTAAGTTGTTCGTCACTCACGGCCCAGACTTTTCTAACTTGTACTAGCAAACATTTAGCCTCATGCTTTTCCCCAACGTCCTCTGGGCCCTTTGCCTTAATGGTCTTACTCTTGGTGTTAACATTGCCATTGGAACGACCTATGGCTCTATTGTCACCGCCCCTCCTTACAACTGGCCCCAATCATCTGCCAGCTATGTCAATGCCGGTCAAATCGTCACCTCGCTCGTCGCACTTCCTTGCTTCGGTTTCGGCTCGGACAAGCTCATCAAGTGGTTCGCGAACCGACGCAATGGTATCCATGAGCCTGAGATTCGTCTGATTCCTCTTGCTTTCCCCATTATCGTTGGTGTCTTTACTGCCGTCTTGTACGGACTTGGTGCCACCTATCCTGAGAAGTACCACTGGTTCACCTATGTCTGGGCGGTCGCTGCGTAAGTTTCTCCCCTTTCTCAAAAACAAACTTCAAATTCTAACCATTCACAGTTACTACTTCACATTTGTCGGCGCCAATATTGTCGCTATCACATATCTCCTGGACAGTTATCCTCAGCGAGCTGGTCCCCTCCTGGTCATTATCTGCGCTGTTCGTGGTATCATGTCATTTGGCGTCAGCTACGGAATCACTCCCTTCATTGAGCAAAACGGTTACGATGGTGCTTTCGGTGTCTTTGGTGGCTTGACTGGCGCTTTTGGTGTCCTCGGCATCTTCGTCTTCATCTTCGGTAAGAAGATCCGAAAGATTACTGGAAGGTACTGCGTGGACAAGGATAAGGCTGAGTAAACTTATCCGTAAGGATGATTTATACGAAGTTTCACCGGTAGTGCTTGTTTCATCGGTTACTGTTTTGAGCGACTGGAGGAGTAGTTAGTGGTTAATATGAGTATGATTATGATACAGTCAGAACAGTTTCTTGTTGCCTTTTCAGCCAAGTGATGTCTCCACAAGGCAGAAAGCACCATGTTAATAGATTTCTTGTATTGACAGAGTATCAAATCAGATAACAGAAGACTATTAGTACCTTGACAGACTATCTTGACTTCCAGGAGTATAAGGTCTCGATGGCAATTATCTTCTCGGGATGTGCCCGACTGAAACATGCACGTACTTTTCAGTGTCAGTTACTGAAAACCCCTCATATGAGAAAGACCATGAATGCATGTATGACTGCAAAGCCAAGATTTCACAGGTCTAGACAAATGTGAAAAAGAATATTGGTATCACTAGGTCTCTTACTAACTACTTACGTCGTTAAGGGTTGGCGGTTCCATTCTTCTGACGCTCTTCCCAGTCCTCAGCTCCGTTATAATCACAATTGTATCTCATAAACTGAGCAGGATCAAGATTCACCTTCTTACTCACCCCATCAGTTGCTGGCTTCGCCTGCTCCCTGCTAAACTTCTGGATCAGAGATGCTCTATCATATCTGGCAGCAAAGACTCTTTCCAAAGCAGTGCCGACCTCGTCCCTCGATTGGACGTTGGCCAAGAACGCGCAGACAGCCTCCGCATCCTCGATGCTCTGTGATGCACCTTGGCCTTGAGTAGGAAGCATGGCATGTGCAGCGTCACCAATCAGGATGGTTCGACCCTTTACCCAACGTGGCAGAGGATCGATATCTCTGAGCTGCCACAAGCCGATGTCTGGAGCTGCTCTGAAGATATCGTGGAGCCACGGAGGGAAGTCTGAATAAGCTTCTAACAACTTCTCAATGCTTCCAGGAGCTACCCAGCTGTCTGAGCTCTCCTCTGCAAGCTTTTCGTCTGGTACCAAAGCAACAATACCATAGAGCTTGCTGTTTCTACCAGGTCCCATAATCACTCTTCGATCATAACCCATGATCATGGTTGTCTTGGGCACTCGGGGGTCCAGGAGTTGGTTTGGTAGAGAGAGCCCCTCCAGATTCTCAGTTGGGATCAGCATTCGATAAGCTGACGTGCCAGTCGGCAGAGCATTCCTCTTCTCGCCTACCACAGCAGTTCTCACAACACTATGAATACCATCGGCGCCAATGATGAGGTCGCCGTGAATCTTCTCGCCCGAGTCCAGTGTCACAATGCCCTCATCACAGTCGACACTCGCGACTTGACAACCTGTGCGAACATCTACAGGATTGCCATACGCCTCTTTGCTTGCTGCTGCAGTTCCCAGAGCCGCTTGCAAATCTTGTCTGTGATAAAGCATTCGCTCGGCACCGAACTGTCCCTTCTGGAAGGGCAGTTCTCTCACCAAATTTCCATCTGCATCAAAGATTCTGAAGCCCTGATCGGCTTGAGGCTCGGCACTCTCAAGGAAGGGATCAAGTTTCCACTTGGTGATGATCTTGCTTGCGTTGGGCTGTAGCGAGATTAAAGCGCCGACCTCGCGTAGTAGACGAGAGCGCTCAAGCACAGTAATGCGTCTATTGGGGTGTCTTAGAGCAAAAGCCTGGGATGGGTTAGCTAGGGTTTTTAGGGCCTTTAAGATTCGGTCAGACTTACAGTTGCGAGACCTGCAATGCCTCCACCAACAATCACAACATGTAGCTCAGGCATGCTTCCCATGATGAATTTGGTATGGTATCGAGATATTGCACTTAATTTCTTCGTGCCAGTAGCAATGATATTGATCTTACCAATCGCATCTTATACGGTGATGCCAAGGGTCTCATTAAGGGCCACGCTAGGTACGGTAGCATCGCTTGTTCCGAAGATCAACGGAGCAGCAAACCGAGTCCGAACCGAATCGAACCGAAGGAACTGTTGCAGCACAACCCGAGATTAGCCTGTACACTCAACCCCTCACTTCACTAAACAAAGCTTATCCTTTACAAGATAACATGGAACATTGACACAAGTTCAGATCTATTGAACTGATATGACGCGTGTGGCCGTAGATGAAGAGTGAACGCGGCTACTGAATTCGGTATTTCTAGTTTTAGACAGACAGACAGACTTGAAGCCTCAAGCTTGATCCGAAACCCAGGCATGCATTCTCGAGATTAGTGGTCAGTTCTTCCAAGCAGCTCAGCACGTGAGAATCGTCATCACAAGAGTTGCCATTAAGTTATTTACTCTGGATTAACACTCTCAATGAACCCATCTCAATGCAAGTCTCGTCTATACACGCACATGTAACTGGCGGGATGAAGATGAACCGAGGCGTTCTTATAGTCATGAGTCCATGTAAAACGAAATACCTAGGTACTCTACATTAGGAGCTTCATCACAATGATGATCATCATAGAGCATGCGCTGTATCTCTGGCAAAACATATGCGTTCTGATGTCTTTATGCTACAGTAACTACAAATTCCTTTCAGCACTCTCACTGTCCTTTCTCTCTAGCTAGCCTCTGCCTTGATATAAGGAATACCCGTCAACTTGAAAGCCCTCTCGTTCAGAACGGGCTCGTGCAGGGGTCTGTCGCGTACTACATGATCAGGCTTGCCGTTACGCTTGGCCTCATTAGAGCCGAGATGGCGAGCGTTGGGCCAGTGCTAGACTTGTTAGTGCTCAAAACAACGTAGAGGGGCAGACATAAACTCACTGTTGTGCCGACCCTTCGTTCAAATGCATCCTTCTTACGAATGAGATCTTCTTGAGACGCCTCAGACACAGGCATGAAGCAAGTGTAGATGGCGAAGCGGTCCTGTTGGCTCTTCACAGGAATGTTATAGTGAGGGGTTCGGGAATCCCAGAGGATCAGGTCACCTGGCTCAGCCTCAACCTTGTACCACTCGCAGCCGTGTTCCTCGAGCCACTTCATTCCCTTGTCCGTGAATCCGTACCACTCCTTAGTCCAGGCAGGAATACGCTCTTCAGTACCTCGGATCTCATCGTGGAACTGCTTGCTCTTGGTGTGGCCGCCCTTTGCGACAATCAGACCGCCGTCATTGGGGCCGTTGGGAAGAAGGTTAACGAGTCCCTGGAGGCAGCGGAATCCAGGCACATCGGGGTCCTGATCTTGATGAGGCCAGGGCTTGTTCTCAGGAAGGTTCTCCCTGTTGGCAAAGCCGTAATTGATAGCATCGAAAGAAACAATGAGATCCTCCGATCCAAGAGCCTTCTCGAAAGCTCCGACAACACCAGGCTCGGATCGGACTCCCCAGACGAAGTCCTCGTGGGCCGCACCGTAGTTCAGAAGCATACCCTTCTCGTTAATGACGGGGAGCTTGTCGGGGTGAACACTTGAAGGGTCGTTTCGGTTATATCCGAGCCCGCTGGGAATTGTTAGTAAGCACGTCGTTAATGGGGACGTCATTTACTTACAAGCTCTCAATAAGACCGTACATACGGTTGGCGTAGCTCAGAGCTCGCTCCCTAGGAATAGCGCCCTTGACAACGGCGTATCCATCACGGACGAGATCATCTCTCCAGTCGCCGTACCGTCTGTTATTACCGTCAATGACGATACGCTCAAGTCCCTCGGGGCGGAGGGTGAGGGTTGGGTGCTCCTCAGTAGTGGTGGTGGTTGTGGTTGTTGCTGAAGGGGCCATCTTGTAAAACTGATACTTCCTTGAGATAAAGTCTGAACCAGATGCTTCGGTGGTGAGCTGTTGGCTTGGATTGAAGTTGTAGATCGAAATTCCCATTCCTCTTTATAACCAGCTCGAAGAAGCGGCTCTTCGGCCCCACAGCGTTCAAAACATTCGTGCGTAGACTAAAATCTGGGGTAATGTAGGATCAGCAACGAGTGAATAGAATGTCCGAACCGAACCAACCGAGTTCAACCGAGCGGACAAGTCTGCAAAGTGTGCAGAGAGGCTTCCATCTCGGTCCTCTACTAATCATTTGACCATCTTTACGGCGTATTTCGCCTCACAATTGGGCTAGAACACTGCTTCCCGCGCCGAGACCCGTGAACGGGTGGCAGATCAAGAATCCCATAGGAGGCTCTAGCGGCTCAAATTACGCGACATGGCTCCGCGGTAATGAACCTTCAATTACTTGTAGTGTCTGGTTTTCGGATCATGACGTTGAAGCAAGTCGCAATTGACTGTGCATACCTGGATGCTTTGCATCCCATTCTATCCAGTTGGCCTTATCTAGTACAAAAGCAATTGACTGACATGAAGCCCATGAGTCTACTGTCTAATTTTTTATAACTACATTATAAGAGATATTTGTGTTATAGCTCATATTCGTGTGGTTACGGCGCTGTTAAACTCATATCGTATTGGCGTTTCGCAAGGGTAGGAAGAGCCTCAGCTTGTCACTGGCAACGGAGATATCCCAATGAGATAGCTCAGTGCTCCTAGGCAAATGAGAGAGACATTTCTATGAACCCAGTCGATCTTAGTACGATATCAGGGTTTTAGTTTACCTTGGCAAAGGGATCACAAGTTGTCACAAGAAGGGGCGATTGTTCCCCTTGTAACCCAACTGGCAGCCTTCTCAAGGATGATAGGCAATTTCCGAACCTCTCACGTATGATCAGCTTACACAATGAGCCCATATCATGGAGTCCGAGCGGCTCGGCTCGGTGTGCATGGGAATGAAACCGACGAGGATGATCGTTTGGAGTTTTATATCAGGCATGCACCCACTGGCGATCTACTGCTTGACTTTGAAACGTTCCATTCTTCTGTCAAGCCACCTATGCTGGACCTTTTGTGAAAGGTATGTAAGGCAAATGCTTTTGTCAATTCATTACTGCACAGGGTATCTAATCCGAAGTCATAATATGCTCGAGTAAGTTTGCGATAAAACTCGGGGAGTCTTTTGACCAGTCATACGCCATCTCAGCACATCCCTTGATCTCCAATCGTGGCAAAGTCGCTCTCCATCACAGCCCAGAAGTGATCCAAAGGCATAGCCTGGAAGGGATCCTGGAAGTACTCTAATGGATCAAACACAAACGAATCCGTCCCTACATCGCCAAACTGATTCGGCGATAACATCCTTTGGTCGTTATTTGTGGTCTGCAAGTCTTGCTGTGGAGGTCTTTGTGTTTGATCAACAGAAGAGCTATTGTCGCCCGACAAGACCTGGTTCACCCGCTGCGTCAATTCGAGCACGCCTTTCACAAATTCGCTGTGTTGTCCGACCCTTCGATAGCAGTCTGCCACGTAGTCCGATGCAGTGCGTACAAGCTCCCCATCACTGCGCCCCATGCGCTTGTGAGGCTTCTTGAATGTCTGCAGCGCGAGGGTTGTCGCAGCAAGGAAAGTGGGCGTAGGTGTTAAGAGGAGGAAATCAGGTTGTGAATCTGCAAACTCTGCAACTTGTGTTATGATAGACCTTGCAGCTTCCACACAGGTTGTTTGGCTTTGCAGTAGTCGTGCTGTACTAATCTTGGCCTCATGCCTTTGTACTTCTTTGCTGAAAGAGGCCTCGGGGAAGAGGAGAGATGCTCGTAGAAGGGTAATTTGAGCCTGTTTCAGATGTGTCAGTAATTGCGGCGTTGTTTTGACAGAGGAAACTTACTTGGTGGAATTGCTGAGACAGAAAAACTGCAAATGAACGCTCTTCTGAGCTTTTGGAAGCGCTCTGGTTCGCCTTCACATCTTCCGACGCCTCGTCAAGCCAATCGACAAGCGCCTGATCTAGCTCTGAGATGCCCGACAGGAACTCCAAAGCGGTCTCTGCTCTGCGCTGAAAGATGTGCTCACTAATCTTACCGACTAGCAAAGACAGCGACACCCATCTGATGAAGCAGGGATCGAGGCCACTGGTCTTGTCGGGCAACGGCTGGTCGCAATCGGTAATCTCAATCGCGCTCGGCCGACCGGTCTCCAATTGCATGGACTTCTCCAAAGCATAGCATGCCCACCAAACCTGGGAATGCAATCGTCGGTCGACTTGGTTGCCGGAATCTTGGTTCGGATTGGATATAACGATCTTGCGATGGAAACCTATCGAGTAGCCAATCCGTATGGCTTGGCCTAGGAGATGCCAGCACTGGCCATCCTTCCCTGTAGACATTGTCAGCGTCAATAGTCAGAGGATTTTATGAGTTCGAAGAGAAGGATCTCAACGTGTGAGATGTCGGGTGAGGATTGGCTGAGGATGTGAGTGAGTAATTACCTCTTGCGCGCATTGCGATTGCGAGTAATACAAGCGCTTGTACCGAGCTCATATATGGGAAGCTCAATAGGTGACTTACTAGGGAATAAGCCCCAGTGAGATAGCCAGTTGCCGTTGGCGATATTTGACCTTCGTGGTCGTCCATTCCGATGCTTAGTACTGCGTAGACTGCGACAAGCGCTGGCGCATCGACTGAGGTCACCGCGCCTTGGAGCCCAGTCGGGGATGTCTGTTGCATCTCGGAAAATCGCAGAACGTCGGATATGAAGGCTGTATGATCGAGGACGGGGATGAGAGGGTGCGTGCGACTGAAGTATTTCTTCAAACAGGGCTCCATGACTGACATGCTGGGAAGGTCTGGGAGAACTGGCACTAATGGGAGGGCGTATTCTTCTGTGAAGCACATCCCCCATCGGAAATGTCTGCCAATTGGGTCGAATCCGCGTCGCTGGAGGAAAAGGTCGATAAATCGGGTGAGGCATTGTAGGCTGCTGGAGCCCATGTACTGCACGCAAGCTCAATTAGTATGCAGCTGTG